AACCTACCTAGTATTCGAGCCTATCTTGGAAGTATCGTTTCAATTTCCAGAAATATTCGGGAATACCTCGAAATATACTCAGAATTGAGTATATTTGCAAGTAGCATTATAAATACTTGGAAAGGGTTCGAATGCGTGTACTGAAGGTTCAAACCTACCTAGTATTCGAGTCTATCTTGGAAGTATCGTTTTCATTCCCAGAAATACTCGCGAGACATTCTAAAATACTTCCCCTCCTAGTGTTCGGTAGTGTACCTGCCAAAACTAAAGAAGCTACTTGGAAAACATACTTGGCTACTTCGAACCCCACGGATGACGAAAGGTTCGTAGATACTTGCGAGGCACTCGATCCCATCTCTAGATACAATGGACGGCTGGCGACGCGCAAGTTTCCCGCGCAAATCCCCCCTCCCCTCGGTCTGGCGGCGAAATCTCGGCGAAAGTAGATCCAGCCTGGCCAGTTGGACGTCGCGGCAAACACGAGGTGTCCGACGACGCCAGTGCAGTGTGACCGTCGGTTCTCGTCACGTGAATCGAACGCTTCCGCTTCCTGCGGATAGACGCGTAACGCGACTCGCACACGATCGATCCAGCGTGTACGTTCGATCGTTACCACACGTCCAGCGTCCCTGAAGCCACCTCTCGCGCTCCAATCGATTTTCGCCGGTCTGATCGAGCACAATCTCGCGGCTAATCGTGGTGCATCGAGGTGCGCTGACATTCTTATTTGCGCGATCTTGAATCACGACTGTGTCGCTGTTTGATAGTGGGGGCGAGGGGGGGGGGGGGGGGATGAAGGTTGGCTAAATTGGGATTCGAACCGAGATACGAGGTTTTCGCGAATTTTACGATTTCGTTTGCGTGTCGAGTGAGAATCTCTTGGTTTCATTTTGTAGAAGGTGCGTTGACCAGGGTAGGGAATTGGAGAATGGAGTTTCAGTGTGATGTTCGTCGTTGAAGAATCTGTACTGTGTTTAGATTTTCCGAGAGTCTTCGATTCTCTCTCTCTCTCTCTCTCTCTCTGTTGGCAAAAGTAAAACGTAGCATAATGTGATGGATCGCGTAATCGCGTAGTGACGTTTGCACAACGACGAGATTCATCGCTCTCAGCGTTTCTCTAAATATATCCTACAGTTACATTCACCGAACAAACGAGTATTCCGATTCTGAGCAATTATTTGGCTTCTTTCCCCTTTTGGAATTTTGAATAAAATTTCCAGAAACTTCCTTGGAGGACCAAGTTGGACTTTAATCTTTATTTGTAAATCGAGTGGATTACATCCGGTAGAATCTCTCTAAAAATAATTGTTTTACATATTAAATATTGCGACAGGAAACACTGCACTTCGAATGTATTGTCTGTGTTGCAATTTTGCGCTAAGAAGAAAATTTCCTAGAGACATCCTGACGAGCACGTTAATTATTACATTCGGATTATCTTATCCAGTAACTCGACTTCTTGTCCTCGGCCAGACCTTTCTTATCATAGTCGATCTGCTAATCGTCTGGATAATTGCATCGGTGAATAACTACGAAGTGTAACGAATAAATTATTCCAACGAAAAGTAGAAAATTGTCACGTTACGGCCACTGTGGATTATGTTACTGCCACTTACTGCTACTTACAATTGATTGCAACGAAGTCCCGATCGTTTAATAACTGCGTTTAACGACTCCGGAACGCTCGTTTAGAAAAATTGGCCGGCTGATAATTCGCGAAACGTAGATACTTCAGTGCGTAGATATTTTAGTTTTAACGACGGCGTTCGACGTGCTGTCGATGTTTTCACGATGGCGTGTAGTATCGTAGGTCAGTTCTCTTTTTGCACAGCAATCGATGAACACTGTGTAACGAAGGAATTTGCTTGATATTTTAATGAACACTGCAAATTTAGTATATTTATTCAGTCGTAATTTAATTCTGTCGATACGTTTCTCTCTCTCTCTCTCTCTCTCTCTCTCTCTCCCTTTCTCTTTTTCCTTTAACAAATTTAATATCTGCTTTGATTGCGACGAGTGTCGCAGTTGATTTTATTGAAGTATCCACTATCGAACGATATTAAGGTATTAAAAGATATTAAAATTCGTATCAATTAAAATTTTTGGGAATTCATGACTGGAAATTAATCTGCCTTTTTTTTTTTACAAAAAAAATATTTAAATATTTGTATTCATTTCTATTGCTTATTTATATTTATAATTTGCAATATGACAACATTTCATCGAAATTTATTTACAATTTATCATCGATACAATTCAATTATATTATTAATATTATTCAACTGTACCTGCGCATTGAACAAAATTAATATAACGAGCAAGAATCAAACACGACACCTGATATTGCGTCTCATTATCGAATCATATTTGTTGCATTGAATACACAAATTAATACAGCGATCCATGGCCCGATACTGATTCGATACTTGATACTATTTGCAACGGAGCTACCTTCGAAACGTCTCGCAGAAATATTGATCATTTTCAAACAAAGTCACGATAAAATCTGAAACCCAAACGATCACTTATTTCGACGAACTTATCTCTTCCAAAATTTCATCCAGCAAACGCAATAAAACCTCCAGACATAAATGTTCATCAGCCGATGAAAAAAAAAAGAAAGAAAAAAGTTGCGTAAGTTTAAGTCGCGCAAACAATATTTTTCCAAAGCGGAATGAACCGCTCGGAAAGAATGGAATGGAGTCGCTCGCGTGGGAATGAGCGGTAGTAGAGGGGAGGAGAGAGAGAGAGAGAGAGAGAGAGAGAGAAAGGAAGCAGTCAGTCTAAATTCGAGCGAACGGCGGATTTTCGCGACAGGCAAACAGGTTTCATAAATATGCAACGAAACGCGCGACCCGCGGAAACCAGTTGAATATTTATGGAATTTTATCGTACGTTCGTTCCTTCTTCTTCTCTTTCCCTCGTGCCGATTACGTATATACGTACGTGCGTTTGCTATTCGACATTCTGCGTGTCTGTCGTTCTCGCGAGTCGCGAGAGCCAGCGAAACATGGTGGAAAGAGTTGGACAGGGGATAAAGCCTGTTGTGAAACGATCGTAAACAGGGGATGGTGTGAAACGCGTTCGCGGGCGTTTTACGTGTTACAGTTTGGAGTTTGGCGTGGGATGCAAACGTATAGTACGCACATACGTAATACGGAGAGTTGATAGCATTTTATTCAGCTGGCCGACAAATTAAAGCACCGCCTGAATTTCAAAGGCTCCTCTCGCCCGGGATTATTAAACGTAAATTTCATACGAAAAGTTCATAGGTATTACGCCAGTTCCCGACGTGTTTTGCAATTTTCACGACGAATCGATACGATAGCCTCTATTTTGACCGACGCGAGCGTTAAATTGGAAGGAACTTGCGAAAATTTTCGCGAAATTTCTCAGCTATTTCAACCTCGTTGAGTTTAGTGTCGTACTCTTTCTGTATTTTCGATGAGGAACGATCGGTACTTCGAATGGCCATTTAAATTTCGCGCAACGATCCAACCTGTCTCGCTTTAAAGAGTGGAAAAATCCCTGCTTCTGTTGTGTTGTTTCTTTTTTCGAATGTTTTTACATTGGAAGAGCAACGAGTGGAAGAGCGACGGTAGAGCATCTGTTGTCGAAGAACGTGGAAAAATGTGAAACGTCTCGGATATTGCTGAAGAATCTACCAGAGTTCTCGAACATTGAAGTCCCTTACTTTACATCGATCCTTTGAAACTCGCTGTTCAACGCCATTTCTCTCCCCATTTTATCGAACCTCGAACGTCGAGAGTTGCACGACGTGAAAATTCAAGGAACATTTTTGCCATTTAACTGTGACGTCCGGAGTTCGATAAAATGGCGAGAAGAAGTCATATGCATAGCAAGCCTCGAGGGTTCGTTTTAAAGAGGAAACTTCAATCTTCAATGGTAGATTCAGCCACGACGAACACATTTCTCGACATTCTCACAAATCAGGGATTTGAATTTTGACAATTTTTGAGAAATAAACATGTTCTTGCCACATGATGTAAAAACATGTTTTGAAAGAAATTAACATACGACTGTCGCGAATGGAGGCTTCCCAGTTGAAAACGAGGTCAACTGCATTTTTATGCGATCACTTTTCGTTAAATACAGACAATTTTTCATCGAGCGTGCGAATAATTTCTACATTTCTTGGCGAAATTTTGTAAAATAAATATTCGTGACTGATCGTGTAGGATTTGAAACAACTTAGAAGAACAACGCGACGTTTTTCGCGAAATTTTCCAAAATTCTTCTGCGAAAGGCAGTGTGGTGTTTCGGTGAATCGAGTCAAGAGAAATTGTCAAAAAATCACGCGTGAAATTCGCCGGCGACTTCTCCATCGGATTTCTAGATAGCTACGTTCCGACGATCCAAGGACACGCGTGGATGCGAGTCCGGCCGCTTTACGGTTGCACGGTTCGTTAAATCGACTCGTCAACCGATCGTGCCGTGGAATCCGTCCCTCGGAAACGTCGAAGCTATCAACGTTATCGGGTCACTCGCAAAAAAATAATTTTAAAACTTCTCCGGCAGGTGGAAGTTTCCTTCCTTCTTAATCCAAATTGAAATCCTAGCTAAAACTTGTCTCTCAACGAATTGATTTTTCCTCTAATTCCAAGGGCTAATACCAAGCGGTAACTTTCCCATCGACAGAGAGACAGCGTTCGCTAACGAATTTAGTGAATCTTTTTTCCTGAAAATAACTTGCAACGAAGTGTTTCCAAAAATGTTTTCCAGGTGATAATAAACGAGATAAACGAGTGTAAAAATTCTGATAAGCGAGAGTAGATCGCAAAAAAAAATATATATATTTAAACGATAAATACATAAACTTATTAAATATGTATATATATAAATATTAAATAAATATAAATATATATAAATATTAAATAAATATAAATATATATAAATATTAAATAAATATAAATATATATAAATATTAAATATATAAACGGGAAAAAAAATATTTTATCGAATTATTAAATTACCGTTGGGGAAGGGGAATTTCGTTGGATTGCGAAATCGTACGACATAGCGGGCGATTCAAACTTCAGAAGCGGTGTACGATTAAAAAAAAATCAAAACGTGTCAAGAATCATCATTCGTCCCGTTCTCGGTGATGAATTTCAATCGTCAATGATTGAAATTGCGCAACGAAAGCCAGAAAATTCGGGGAGTTTGCGTTCGATTGAGATTGATCGGCAGACAACGAAATTATTATCGGCATAATAAAACGGGTGGTTTTCGGTTTCGCGAGAATAGTGGGAAAATATATTCATGCTGTCCAGCTTTCGATAGCCGTCGTTTATCATTCCATCGCAAAATTACGCCGGGCCAGCGTCAAGGCTAGAAAAACGGGGGTGAAAAATTCGCGAGGGGTCGCGCTCGTTTGTCAGTGTTGCCCTCATTCCTGTTTTATTCAGCCGTTCATGAACAACAAACATATTTCTTCATCCCTTTTTTTTTTTTTCTTTCTTGCAATTTCTCTCGAATCGATGGCTCCGATTAAAACCGAGTAAATTCGGCGCCAAAGCGGAATGAAAACGAAGCTATTTTTTGTAAAATAAAATTAAAAAAAAAAAAAAGAAAAATTGCAAATGAGTTAAAGAAAGTTGCGGAGAAGCTAGTTTCTGCAAATGCACGAGAGGCGTTGAATATTTTCAGAACGATTCGGTTTTTTTAGAGCGACGAAACCAGAACAAGCAAGACCAGAGCGTGTTTCAGTATCTCGAATCGAAACATTATCTACCTCTGCGCGCGGGGGCACTCGTTCGACACTCGAATCCCCCTAATCTCTTAGTCCCCTATCAGATTCACCGTGCATTAGGCGAGTCGTTTATCGGTCGGCCGTGGCGTCAAGTTAACGAGAACCTCTCGTTTTATTTCGTCGCTC